TACACTGTATGGTAGTGACGAAAGAAATTGAATCAGTTACTTAAAAAAAAATTAAATGTAGTCCTAACGATATATATTTTTAAAAACTTTGTTATATTATTATGTTGACTTTGGACTAAAATTGGCCATCACCCCCTCTTTTGAAGTCAATTGGTGCGGCAATTTTACCACCCAAACGGGTATAGAAAAAGAAAGCAACAATACATTCTTGAAGACAGCAGCTGTACGCGTAGTAGTGTGAACATTTGACGGGGAAGGAACCATGTTTCACATCGGAGTAACAGGATAACCGTAGATAATCTACTGTTTATTATCGTTATTTATTACGTGCAAGTGTTTATATAATGATTTATATATTAGGGCCTACCTAATCCGCACATATCCATAACGCCTTTCTGTTTAAATATCCTCCAATTATCTAAAGCCAGCCGCCCTCTGTAGATCCTGCATCTTGAGTTCTGCATTATCGCCACACAGCAGTACAACATCCGATTCCACTCACTAGAAGTAAACAACATTAATATCTTGAGAGGACATTCAAAAAACGCCAGTGTACTGTGTCTGAGTGTGTGTGAAAGGGGGGGGGGAGAGTGGTAGTGATTGTGTTGCAGTGTGTGTCCACACAATAAATTTATCCTTAAAATCATGTAGCAATCACGCAATATTTGAACTGCATACACAATGTGTACAGGTATACGACACAGTTCCTGTTTTAAATATATATTTAATTCAACACCTGTTTTATAAATATAACATAATAAAAAAAAGTGCCTTAATCGTTTGCTTCAACACAAGTTTTAAGGAGAAGCACCAAGATAAAAAAAGATGTCTTTTTTAACATAGTTGATGGTGTTTAATAAATTCATATGTTAAGAGTAGTTAACCTATCCGCCTATAGCAGTTCTTGTTGCCATGGAAACCACGAAAATGTGTGAGAAGAAACACCTTTTCAAAACCTCTATAGCTTTGTTGCCAAAGGCATTTTACAAATCCCATAATAGATTTTGATTTCCACGCGTGTTTTTCATTGTATAGCTCGTTTTTAATTTTTAATATAAATCGTTATGTTTAACTATGTACATAAATTAGGGGAGGGGGTTCTATATAAGTATTAATATTGCCAATAGTATTGCAGTAAACTTAATGTACAAATGACGAAGTGTTGATGGTTTACGGCTGAATGCAGGTGGAAAGTTGTTTACTCTAGTCGGACAAAGGGTTTCTTCCAGGCATATCTTCGAAGGTGCTCCCCCTCCCCCCCCCCCCCCCCCCCCCCCCACCCCCGAAGGACGTCTACCGCCACTCCCCCCTAACGAAATTGAATTTATATAGGAAATATATATTTATACCAATGTCCAGAAAATTTAGCCCCCCCCCCCCCTCCCATCAACCAAAAAAATCAATTGCCCACCCGCCCCACGGAGAAAAAAAGTCTAAAAGAAGCATTGCTGGTAAACGTTACAGAAAATTAATGTAAACTTTGGTGTTATCCTTACTCGCAGGTTGGGTTTTGTTTATCCCAACACCCGTCGAGAATAAAACACACTTTCTGGTAGCGGTCCCGTGCTAGAAATAAAAAAAAAACAAAAAACAAACGATAGTATCATTTTCATTGTGTACTTAGAAATGTCTTTTGACAATGAAAAAAATATAAATAAAAATAAAATCAAGAGTTTTAAATTTTTACACAATACCATATATAACTATTGTAGGACGGCGGATAGTTTCGAGTTCGAATCCGGGTTCGAGTTAATGGAACGTCCCTGAGTCCACCCAACTCTGACGGGTAACTCACGTTAGGGAAAGTAAAGGCGGCTGTGCATAGTGCTGACCACACTATCTCTTCATATGCCGAGGACAAGAAATAAATTAACTCCACTTCATCTGCCCAATGGATCGTTAGGTCTGAAGAGGAATCTTTACTTTATATATATATATATATATATATATATATATATATATATATATATGTATATATATATATATATATATATATATATATATATATATATATATATATATATATATATATATATATATATATATATATATGTATATGTATATGTATATATATATATATATATATATATGTATATATATATATATATATATACATGAATATAAACCCCTACATGTATACATGATGACATAGCAACAGACAATAGTCTCACGCGTGTGAACTCAATTATAAATTGAGAAAAAACAAAACATACTTAGTGGTTCTTCCTGATAAATATAAAAATCATAGCAAGGTACGAGGTCCAATCTGCTTCTGTCAAACGAAAACCCGACGACTGAATTCGGATCTGGAGCTATGAAATAATAAAAAACATTCTGTTTCATTATCGCATCGAGGTGTTTCTGGCGTTTTATTACATTTAGAATACCCGTGCTAATATGCATTAAATTAGGTTAATTTGAACAGTAGCGTAGGCAAAAATTTATTAGAGCGATATATATATATATATATATATATATATATATATATATATATATATATATATATATATATATATATATATATATATATATATATATACTAGCCGTCCCGGCCAGGCCCTGCTCTGGCTTGTGTGAAAAAACTTTCTGTTAAAGACCATTACCTGTGTGTTTAGTAATCATCATAAACCCGGCATTGCCCACCCAAACCACAACCAACCAACACAACAAAACGCAAACATAACGCTAACACAATTACAAATACAAACGAAAACAAAAACCTAACAACAAACCCCACCACAACCACAAACACCAATACAAACACAAAGAAAAAACAAACAAAAAAAGCAAACGAAAACAAAAACCTAACAACAAACCCAACCACAACCACAAACACCAATACGAACACAAAGAAAAAAAAACACAAATGAAAAAGCAAACCAAATCCAAACGCAAAACCAACCACAAATACAAACACAAAGAAAAAAACACAAACGAAAACGAAAAAAGAAAGAACAAAAACGAACCAAATCAAAACGCAACCACTAACGCAAACCCAACCTAAACACAAAGAAAACACTAACGCGAACATAAACGCAAAGTGCTCACAATCTAGCCCGGGGCGGAATCGCCTGTTTCAGCTTAATAAACGACTATAGTACCCCAACTTATTCATAGTCTTTTGCACTTACTTAAACGAACGTAGGCGCCAAACCGAACACGGGAGGCCCGGGGCCCCAAATAGCACCCTGTCTGAGGACCAGAGGACGCCCGGATTCGATTCACTTAAAGACTATAGTAACCTTTCTTATCCATACTCTATCGCACTGTTTAAAGCGAAATTATGCACCATAGCGCTCACAGGATAGCCCAGAGCGCCAAATTGAACCCTGGTGGGGCGCCGGCGGACGCGCCTGTTTCAATTTAATGAATAATTACAATACTCCAAGCTTAACCGTAAAATACCTACAACATTTGCACTTGATCAATCCCCGATAATTATGTAATTATTTTTCTCCCAACACCAAAACAAAGTAATAAAAAGTAAATTCTTTTCCACTAATGCAATGTTTTATAATGGGAAGTAATTGTGTTTTCCTAATTTATCAAAGGGAATTAAGTGTTAAAGGACTAAAGATAAATAATTTTCAGACATAATTAGAATTTTTGTAAAAGATGATAATTTTTTTAAATTGTGTTTAATGAACATGCCGACCATTATTACTATCAGTTTGAAAAATGAAATTATTTCCCAACACTTTCAATAGTAATTTTTTAACTCAAAAATTTAGACTGTGAGCACGATAATAGTCTAACACTTAAATCCATCGAAGTATGTCAACGACATTTTTTTTACATATTTTTACATACAGAATTGAGCTTTATATATTAGATATATATAAAATTCAAAAATAAATATTAAAATAGGAAACGGAACTTCACAAAATACAAGACTGCTAAACAAAACAGATGATAAGCAGACACACGCTAGGTCACGTGCTTAGGACGCAAAAAAAAAGCAAAGAATAAAATTGAGAGCTCAAAACTGTTTGGTACGGAATGAACAAAAAAAACAATAAAAAGAAATCAGAACAAAACAGAAAAGAAGAACATAATTTATAGATCTAGTAACTGAAATAAATAGAATACAAAAGAAATACTCTTTATTAGGGCTTATAAGTCTCGTTTTCTTTCACTTAAATTCAAAGTCTAGTTAGCCTGGGAGTTTTATGAATTTTCTAACTAAATTAATTGTTGTAAACATGATTTCCGTAATAACAAAAAAAAAACGGGAGTGACCTCCCCTAAACTTTGTCTAATATCCTAACAGGGGATAGCAAATCGGGATAAAGACATGATTTTTAATCCATTTTAGATACTTAAACTTTTTAAAATAGAATAAAATCTTGTAGAAATAAGAAATGCACACCAAGTGAACGCCAAATAAAATGTGCATAATAGTGCGGAATATTATTAGTACTTTATCAATTCAAATGCGTTTTTTGAGAAATCGGAAATAGCGAAAATTACTACTTCCGGTCAACGGAAATTACTCAAAATTTAAATGAAGGCAGAAAATTAGATCTTTTACTGACATGTGAAATTCATTTTTTTTTTGCGTGACTACAAGACTTTCACTATACTTCGTATATACGAGAAATTAAAAACCATAGAAGCTACTTGTTTCTAGGTCTTGCTTCAATTAAAATACCAAGAGCACAAAAAGAGCGACAATTATAAACATTTTACGAATAATAGAATCAAATTAATTACTTTAATATTCTATTTTTTTACGACAGCTTGTTTCGGTTTCGAATAAATAATTTAAAATTGTACGTTTCTTGAGAATAATCAGAATCAAACGTAGGCTACATCTTGTTGTCTATCATTTTGATCATATGCGTTGTTTACGATTTTTTTTTAAATACACTTAATAATGGCGGAAATAACTTTTCTATTTTTCCTTTTATTTTTTACTTATTTTATAATTTATATTTGATTTGAAAAATTACTAGCTGGCAAGAACGAAAACGAAAACTTGGTAACCTACTAAAAATGCCTATTAGCACACTATGACACTAGTACTTTCCAGTGGTGCTAAAGTTTTCGAAAGTTATTCATGTATATAAAATATAATTAAACCAAGGTTAGGCATGACCGCAGTTCGGTTACTTGTAGAAACAACTAACCAAACTGCGGTCACAATTCGCGTAGGTTGTAAAATATGAAAACGTGTTGCACAATAAGAACAGAACATAGCAAAGCAGAAAACAATACAGCGAAAACGAGACAAAAAAAATGTTTATTAACCAGAACGCGCTATCCACAATGTAAATCTGTATGAAATAGTTACATAAGAAGCGGAAGTCTGTTGGAGACAAGGGCTTTGTAAACAGAGCTAAAAAATTTACTACAGTTTTACTTTCGCGTATATACGAAGTATAGAGCAAGTCTTGTAATCGTGATACGGAAAAACATAATTTTGCAATCTTGTCCGTATGTCTGTGTGTGTGTGTGTGTGTTTGTGTGTGTGTATGTGTGTAAACACGATAACGTGAGTAACGTTACAGTTAGGTAGATAATATTTCATATATAAGTATTTTATCAAAATCGTAGATACTGATCAACTTTTGTGCGATTTCCGATAACCGGAAGTGGTACTTTTTCTACTTTGAATTTATCAAAAGCCTATAACTTGAGTACTATTTCAGATAGATAAATGAAATTTCACATGTAAGTAAAAGATCTAATTCTCTACCTTCTGTCAAATTTTGAGTAATTTCCGTTGACCGGAAGAACTAATTTACGCTATTTCTGATTTCTCAAAAAACGCATGTAAATTTATAAAGTACTCATAATATTGCGCACTATTATGCACATTTTATTAGGCGTTCACTTGGTGTGCAATTAATTTTTTACGAGATTCCATTCTATTATAAAAAGTTTAAGTAATAAAAAATGGATTGCAAATATTGTCTATGTCCTGAGTTGCCATCCCTCGTAGTTTTATATTAGAATATTCGAGAGAGTTTAGGGGAGATCACTCCCGGTTTATTTTATGTAGGACGATGTATAATGGGAAAACACGATGTACCTAGGTAATCATTAGGACTGACGTAGCAATGTTTCAATGGTGTAAACAGTTGGGAACTGGAGCATTCCGTGATGAGTCGGTGAAGGATTCGGATTAATAATTCTAAACGTATCGTACTCTTCACAAACATAAATTTACAGAGTATATATAAAACTACAGACGTACAAGGGCAGACACACGTTATAGAAAAAGTATACTTAACAGTATCCACATCTTTTGAACTCTCCATTTTGTTCTAGTACTTCGAGCAGGTGTTCGGCTATTCGGACTAAACCTGGATGGCAATCTTTGTTTTGTGTTATATTATAGGCACAGTAAGCGTAATCAAAGCTTTGCCTAAATGATAGAATTGATATATATATATATATATATATATATATATATATATATATATATATATATATATATATATATATATAAATATATATATATATATATATATGTGTGTGTGTGTGTGTATACGTTAATAAATAAATAAATAAATAAATAAATAAATAAATAAATAAATATATTATATATATATATATATATATATATATATATATATATATATATATATATATATATATATATATATATATATATATATATATATATATATATATATATATATATATATATATATATACTATGGAATATCAATGGTCAGAAAAAAATTTCGAATGTACGATGTATCTTGTAAACCGTTTGTTTTGTTTTAGAAAATTACAAACAATTAATACATTGTTACTTTCTCGTATACAGAGTGTAGAGGGAGTATTGTAATCGTGTTGAATAATAATTAAATATTTTGACAGTTTTCGCTTTTTTACACCACCCTACCATAGCATATACGGAACATAAAGGATGCGTTGTAATCGTGCAAAAATACAAAAATAGATTTTCACAAATCAAATTTGACGTTTTACATTCTTTTGAAACGGCAAAAAAAAATTGTTTTTAAATTGTGTTCACGTGTCTGTGTGTGTGTCTGTAAACACGATTGCTTGAGTACCGTTACACTTATGTAGGCGAAATTTCTTGTTCCGTTTCCACGTTTGAACTATTTTCGATAAGCGAATGTGGTACTTTACTATATTTTCGCGTGAACACTTTAAGTTGAGTACTGTTTTAATCAGGTAGAAGATATTCCAAATATAAGTATAGAATTCTTATATTTTTATTATTTTCAATTTTTAAGTAACCTCTTAAAACCAGAAGTGGTATTTTGCTCTATTTCCGGTTTCTAAAATACCGATAACGTAAGTATGTTTTAATTAAATCGAACAAAATAGTATACATGGGTATAAAAAATTATTATGTTGAGTCTGTCATATTTTGAAGGATTTCCAAAGAACGGAACATAGTACTTTACTTTCTGATTTTTCAAAAAATGACTCTTGTACTCGACCGATTTGTTTAAAACTTTTCATATAGGTAAAGATTTACAGACTACTACATAAAATGTGACTTAATTAGAAGTTTAACTTTTTAAAATAAATATTCAATGTTACCTTTATAAAGTACTAATTTTTCGTGCTAGTATACACTATCGTGTATTGTTCATTTTGTAGGTAATTCGTTCTTTAGTATTAAAAGAAAGTTGTAAAATTTAGAATAATTTCTATACCTTCTATATCTCTTAGATATATATATATATATATATATATATATATATATATATATATATATATATATAAGAGATATATATCTATACGAGAAAATTTGGGGAGTTAGATATATATATATATATATATATATATATAAAGATTATACGAGAAAGCTTTGGGGAGTTAGATATATATATATATAAAGATTATACGAGAAAGCTTTGGGGAGTTAGATATATATATATATATATATATATATATATATATATATATATATATATGTATATATATATATATATGTGTCTGTCTGTCTGTCTGTCCTTTATGCATTACTACACCTCTCATCACATCGCCGTGAAACTTTGGGAAGTTGTTTAGAATATACCCGGGTAGGTTTCTGCGAAAAAAAAACTTCAAATTCGCAGGGGTGGCGCCCCGACAGGGCGCGATTTGTTTTTTCTATATACGGTATATAAAAATAAAAATCGATTTTTGTTTGGCATCGTTCATCCGATAGCCATAAGACTTTGGGGAGTTCATTATACCACTCTAGGGAAGGGTTCTGTTAAAATATAATTTTTAATTTCGCAAGGGCGGCGCCCCGGGAGCGTCCGATTTTTCTCTATATACGGTATATAAAAATAATAAAAGTGAATTGCAGTGACACCGTTTATCCGATAGGCATGAAACTTTGGGGAGTTCATTATAAAACTCTAGGGAAGGGTTGTGTAAAAAATCATTTTTAATTTCGCAAGGGTGGCGCCACGGGAGGGTGCGATTTTTCTCTATATACGGTATATAAAAATAAAAGTTGATTTTGGTGTGACACCGTTATCCGATAGCCATGAGACTTTGGGGGAGTTGATTAGAACAATTCAGGTAAGGGTTCTGTAAAAGAAAAAATCCTTTTTTTGATTTCGCAAAGGCGGCGCCACGGGAGGCTGCGATTTTTCTCTATATACGGTTTATAAAATTTCGGTTTCACACCGTTCATCCGTGTGCCATGAAACTTTGGGGAGATGATTAGGTTACTCAATGGTAGGGTTCTGCAAAAAAATATTGTTTAATATTGCAAGGGCGGCGCCACCCGGGGGAGGGGGGCGATTTTTTAAATCTATACACGGTATATAAAAAATAAAACTGGGATGCGGTTCATCCCGAGAATATTTCTGCGAAAAAGAAAACTAAAGTTTCTTATGGGCGGCGCCATATAGGCTACAACTTTCGTCAATACACGGTTTGGCGCCCAAAGTTTTAGAGCGACTATGTTGGCACTTGGCATCCGTTAATCGAGCGTCCTGCATAGCGTATAATGGGTACTACTATATTCAGCGGTAAAACTACAACAGGCTTCTAAAAATAACTTTGTAACGCGAGGAAATCCTTCTGTACAGTTTCGTCACCTTGCGAAAGATGAAAAAATAACTTTTTGAATATGAGGAGCCTACTGTAGAGTTTCGTCACTCTGCGAATGATGCAATAAGCATCTATTATTAGACAATCCAGTCAGAAATTGAGATCGAGCATCTAATAATAGACCTTTAGTAACGCTAGCATATTGCATCAGTCACACTGATGTTTAAAACATGTCAAGTACTTTTTTTACGTGTTAAAGAAAAAAAGCCTGTTCATTTGTGGCACTTTAGCGAATGATGAAATCTGCATCATTATTAACATTTGGTACGATGGCGCTTAGTACTTTTAAGGAGCCAGGGGTCGTACGCCGCGCCTATGCGGTAGTGTAATGGGGGGTTGGGGGCCCCTGTACGTCTCTGACACATGAGCGGTCACCGAAGTGTGTTCTAACATATTATTACGGTGAGTGATTAATGTACACTCAATGTTTATATGCGTTAGTGCAGGTAAATATGTGTCCCGATAGATATGATCCAAGCGCTGGCATTGTTTACATTTAAATAACTCACTTTTAGAAAAGAAGTTCACGCGTCTAAGAACATATGATTGGTAACGCGTTGGTGAAATCTTTCTAATACATTTTTTTCAAACTCTCTTCTATCCCCGCGGCAACGCGCGGGGGACGGGTACGCTATTATATATATATATATATATATATATATATATATATATATATATATATATATATATATATATATATATATATAAAGATTATACGAAAAAGCTTTGGGGAGATCACTCCCGCTTTATTTACAGTGTAAAGGGTTACTCTGGGAATTCAACCCTTAGGCTAACGATGAGTGCCTAACATGGCATTCTATAGTTGAAATATGACATTTGAAACTTACCAGCAAAATATCTCAAGATTTTTCCCCTGCGGTAGGCAAGCATCCAAATCGTTACAAGAGTTTATTGGGTTGACTATATTAAAAATGTTATTATTTCAGTAAAAACAAAAAATAATATTATAAGATGGTTTAAAACTAAATAAGTCTGTACTTGAAATATGAAAGAGTGTGAATAAAATTGCGTGCATCGTGAATTGACCTGTTAAAACTGCATTTTGAATATATCTAGACATAATTGGCTAAAAAAAATTTTTGTTGAATCGCTGAACATATTTAATGTTAATTGTATTCATGCACATTATGTGATCTCAAATAAAACGCCCACACCCCCCCCCCCTAAAATTCCACAAGTGCAACCGAAACAAAAAAAGGTAATATTTTATTGTACTTACAATGCTCACTGCGATTATGGAATGGACCTGTTAATAAAAGAGTTTGTTATTAGTAAGATGTTTCTAGAAGTTGGTTGCTAAAACATATTTTATTTTAATCTCCCATGCGTGTGTTTCTGTTCACAGAAACTTTGGCTTTTATGACGAAAAGGGTACTGGGTGCATTGCTTTCGAAATTTCGTTTACTAGTTTTCAATCTATGCTAAGTTTTTATTGTAAACAAATGTAGATTTTGTGTCTAAAGGTCATTTAGAGATTATCAAAACGACTTTTACCGTCCCATCCTAAATATTGTTGCAAAAAATCTAATAAATTCCTCCTAAAATGAAGTCAAACCTTGCATATTTTGTTTTTTAAACTGATTTCTTTCTAAAAAAAATCTCTTCTAAAATGAAGTCACACCTTGCATATTTTGTTTTTAAAGCTGATTTCTTGCTTTAAAAATCCCTCCTAAATGAAGTCAAACCGAGCATATTGTGTTTTTTAACTGTTATCTTGCTAAAAAATAACCTTCCAAAAATGAAGCAAAACCTTGCATATTTTGTTTCTAAAACTGATTTTTTTTTTCTAAAAAAAAAATTATTTAACTCATGTCTGCGTATGGACACATGAAATGACAAAAACAAATTCAATATTTTACATTTTTTTTTAAAAAATGCAAACGTTTTAAACAGCCCATTGTCTCAAACTTAATCGATGTACAGTTATTTAAAAAATAAATATTTAAACTTACCAGCTCCACCTTGTAGTCTTGCTCCATTTGATTCACCTGAAATTCAAAACATTTTTTAAAATGAAAACAATATTATTAACTAACAAAAAAATGTAAAAAATACATCATAAAGGTGTAGTCTTAAAGATTAAATCCATTCTACATGTTTCAAATAATTTTTTTAAAATTGGTCTTAAAAAAAACCTTATCAAACAGTGAAACTTTTTTTTTAAAATGACATTGAATTTCATAGACTTTTGAACCAGTTCTTTCTTTATATATTTAAATTCATTTAGATAAACGTTTAAGATATTGATCTATTTGTATTTTGATGTACGGAAGATTAAAATCTTAAATAATATGAAATTATCTTTGAAATGTATGTATTGAAAAGTATGTTAGAAAAAAAAAACACATTGAGTGTAGTCACACGTTCTTAATCACCTCCACATCTAAGTATAGGTGAACGCTGATAGAAAAACACCTACCCCACAGATAATAGTTTTCTTACAGACTGTAATAAAGGCAGGAGGAGGGGAACTAAAATTTCAGACGTTCCAAGAAAACTATTTAAGGTAACCTTAATATATTGTGTCGCAAGAGCGAGATGTATGACAGATGCTGCACGATGCTGGCGGCTATGAGTTTTACTATGGCTAGGTTCTAGGATTGTTATGGCTAGTACTAAGCTTGTTATAGCTAGCTTAAGGTTTGTTATGTCTAGGTACTAGGCTTATTATAGCTAGGTTCTAGGATTGTTATGGCTAGTACTGAGCTTGTTAGAGCTAGCTTAAGGTTTGTTATGTCTAGGTACTAGGCTTATTATAGCTAGGTTCTAGGATTGTTATGGCTAGTACTAAGCTTGTTATAGCTAGCTTAAGGTTTGTTATGTCTAGGTACTAGGCTTATTATAGCTAGGTTCTAGGATTGTTATGGCTAGTACTAAGCTTGTTATAGCTAGCTTAAGGTTTGTTATGTCTAGGTACTAGGCTTATTATAGCTAGGTTCTAGGATTGTTATGGCTAGTACTAAGCTTGTTATATCTAGCTTAAGGTTTGTTATGTCTAGGTACTAGGATTATTATGGCTAGGTATTTAATTTGTTATGGCTAGGTATTAGACTTCTTATGGCTGGGTGCTAGGATTGTTATGGCTAGTACTAACAGGGGCGTAGCGAGGGGGGGGGAGGCGGGGGTGCGGACCGCACCGGGTGACACCATTTGGCGGGTGACACCAAGGCAAAAAATAGCAAAATATATAGAGAAAAAACTTGAGGGGGGGGGTGGAAATCGAAAGTTTGAGTGGGGGAGCAAATCGAAAACTTGAGGGGGGTGCAAATCGAAAGTTTGAGGGGGGGGTGGAAATCGAAAACTTGAGTGGGGTGCAAATCGAAAGTTTAAGGGAGGGGGTGCAAATAAAAAATGTGAAAGTTTGTCCCCGGGAAGGGTCGCTACGCCTCTGGAGGGGTGACACCATTAAGTGCCGCATCGGGTGACACCCGACCTCGCTACGCCACTGAGTACTAAGCTTTTTTTTATTGCTAGGTACTTAATTTGTTATGGCTAAGTACTAGGCTTGTAATTGCTAGGTACTTAATTTGTTATGGCTAGGTGTACGGTTTTTAAGTGACGGCGTGGCCTAGCGGTAGAGCGATAGACTGCTAACATAAATCTCGAGTTCGAATCCGGGTTCAAATCAGAAGAAAGTCTTTGAGTCCACACAGCTCTGATGGGTACCTAACTCACGACTAACTACCCCCGGTTCTCTAAACGATTCTAACTTAAAATTCAAATGATTCGTAACAGTCTAGGTCTAGATCTTAATCTAAAATCATCACTATCATCACCATTTTTTTCCCGATCTTCGACAAGACTTATAAAACAGACAACACAGAGTGCACCTGTTTAAATCACTTCGGCATACGGGTGGATATTTTGGTCAGCAGTATGAACATCATAAAAATACATTCTTTGGAATTTGAAAAAAAAAATGGACAAGTGTTCGTCGTAAAAGATAAAGTTATGCCAAATGTCCATCAAGACAGTTATTAAAACTTTTGTCCTTAGACCTTACCGCTAATAAGACACAGTAGCGTAGCGAGGGGGGGGGGCGGGGGGGGGGACATATGTTCCCGGGCGCCGACCTTAGGGGGGCGCCAAATTGAAAGTTTGAGGGGGGGTGCAAATGAAAAGTTCGAGGGGAGGAGGTGCAAATCGAAAGTTTGAGGGGGGGGGGTGGTGCAAATGAAAAGTTCGAGGGGGGGGGGGGGTGCAAATCGAAAATTTCCTCTCGAGGGGGCGCCAAATTGGAAGTATGTCCGGGCGCCGGGAAGGGTCGCTACGCCTCTGATAAGACACTATTGGGGCTTCTGTTCTAAGCTTAGCTGTAGACTAGTTCACATACCAGCAAATTAATTTAAAAGCGCTAATACGGGTAGTGATGAGGAATAAATGAATGAATACAATACTAGGTATAGCTAGAGGTAGGAACAGTGTTACAATAGAAGAGTACGGTGAGTAGGCATTAGGAGCACGAATAGTTAGTAGTAGATCTAGTTTAGTAGTCTATCTAGAAATAGGTAATCTTAATCTCCTAGTATAGCGTCAGTTGATTATTGCAAGTTTTAATTTCTGTTTAAAAAGATACATTAATCTAATTACTACGATTGACTTTATCATTTATATTTATATCTTCTAATTGTAACTATTTTTCTATTTATTTATGTTTCTTTATGTCGATTAAACATAAAGCTAATTTTAAACATTTATTTAGTTCAACAGACTATTTATATTTTAACGACACATAAACCATGGTTTACAGTAATTAATATTTACGAAAATTTTATTTATGAGTTGTAAATGTAAATGTAAATTCCATTGTACATTTATTTGTGAGGGAGGCTGTGTAACACATATGGTTACCAGCCAAGGGGGGATACCAAATAAAGTTTTAATTCGCTGAGTTGCGGCCCCGGTGGGGCCGTGGCCCTGATGACGTAGTCTGTTGCATGCTCTTGTGAGCGATGTTACCTGTGTCCAATGTCATGTGACATGGGACTATGGGTAGTTTCGTGCCTAGCCGTGTCAGTCACAGGCAAGGCTGCTGTTTGTGGACACGGTGACGGTACCAAGATGTAGACCTAATGAAGGTAGTGTTGGTATATAAATTATGTTTATTGTTAGAATACTTATTTGTGTATTCCTGCTAGTGCTGCATGTGCACACTAGTTAGGTTGAGTATTTATTTAAGTATTTATTGTAGTACTACTTATTGGTACTTGTTGGCAGTACTGTGTACTGGCCGAAACATATTTTATTGTACCCGTGTATATTGTAGCCTACACGGGGTGTTGTCATGAATGTAACTTTTTCTTTACATTTGTTTTAGGGCTACAGTTTTGTTTTTCTTCTCTGTAATCGTCATACTACTGTGTTCTGCATCGCCGTCATGGCTCGATGCCGTGAATAAATCCAGTACTTGACAACAACGGTCGGTGTCAGTGTGTCCTAAATGTCAGGGTAGGCCCGTCAAAACCACAACACCTCAGTGGGTAAAAGCATCCCAAGTGAGTGAGAGTTACATTGTACTGTGAGATTACCCAGAAATATAGGCCTAATGTATATTATAAGGCATTAAGGTACGTCAACATTTAGATTTTAGATCTAGATACTGAGAGATGACCCCGATTGTAGGCACGTTGACTTACCGAGGAGAACATTCGAGAATAAAAAGAAGAGAAAAACTTCGTAGACAATCATTTCAAAAGATGTTATGTGGCAAACATAATGTTTATGTACATCTAGATCAAAACGTGTAAGATGTTTGAAAAGGTTTATTTACCAGATTTAAGTGTTTATCAAATAAGAAAATCAGTGCGCACCAATGTGCACTTAAAATTATAAGTTTTTGGTGTGTAATGTGTATGCTATAGTGTCTACATAAATCTAGAATGTGTAGGTTGTGTCTGTCTAAAAAGGGAAGTTACAATAAATTTTCATTGGGCCATGTGTTGCAGAGTTATGTTCTCTGGCGTAACAAGTTTTAGATGCATTGTTGTTAAAACATAACATTATACAGTTTAGTAGAACTAAAGCTATGTTATTTCTCAAAACGTTTCAGTTATTTCAACAATTTAGCAAAACTCTTAAGGTTGGTCCAGTTAAATTTTTGTTCCGGTATGATAATTGTTTTTAGTTGTGGTTGTCTAAATAGGGAAGTTATCATAAATTTATTATCTAATCTGACGGTCATAGGGTCAGTTAAGCGGAATTTTGGGAGATTATAATATGGTTAGTATTATGTCCCAGCCACCTTTACTTTAGTTAGGTACCTATCATAGCTGACTAAAACCAGGATTCGAACTCGAGACTTTCGGGTTAGCAGTCTAGCGTATTCCCGCTCGGCCATGCTTAAAAATGTGTCATATTATTAAAGGGAGGTATCGAAGTTTCGTGACGATGTATGATGTATGATAATCGTAATGGGTAGTAGAGTGTTGCGACAAAGATTTTTATTTTGAAAAGTAAGGTTTTAACTGAATTTAACTGAATTAAACTAAATTTAAGCCTTATTTTAAGTTTTTAAGTGTAAAATATTTTAACTTCTTCTACTTCGTTAGATTTTTATTTTGAAAAGTAAGGTTTTAACTGAATTTAACTGAATTAAACTAAATTTAAGCCTTATTTTAAGTTTTTAAGTGTAAAATATTTTAACTTCTTCTACTTCGTTAGATTTTTATTTTGAAAAGTAAGGTTTTAACTGAATTTAACTGAATTAAACTAAATTTAAGCCTTATTTTAAGTTTTTAAGTGTAAAATATTTTAACTTCTTCTACTTCGTTAGATTTTTGTTTTGAAAAGTAAGGTTTTAACTGAATTTAACTGAATTAAACTAAATTTAAGCCTTATTTTAAGTTTTTAAGTGTAAAATATTTTAACTTCTTCTTCTTCGTTAGATTTTTATTTTGAAAAGTAAGGTTTTAACTGAATTTAACTGAATTAAACTAAATTTAAGCCTTATTTTAAGTTTTTAAGTGTAAAATATTTTAACTTCTTCTTCTTAGTTAGATTTTTATTTTGAAAAGTAAGGTTTTAACTGAATTTAACTGAATTAAACTAAATTTAAGCCTTATTTTAAGTTTTTAAGTGTAAAATATTTTAACTTCTTCTTCTTCGTTAGATTTTTATTTTGAAAAGTAAGGTTTTAACTGAATTTAACTGAATTAAACTAAATTTAAGCCTTATTTTAAGTTGTTAAGTGTAAAATATTTTAACTTTTTCTTCTTCGTTAGATTTTTATTTTGAAAAGTAAGGTTTTAACTGAATTTAACTGAATTAAACTAAATTTAAGCCTTATTTTAAGTTGTTAAGTGTAAAATATTTTAACTTTTTCTTCTTCGTTAGATTTTTATTTTGAAAAGTAAGGTTTTAACTGAATTTAACTGAATTAAACTAAATTTAAGCCTTATTTTAAGTTGTTAAGTGTAAAATATTTTAACTTTTTCTTCTTCGTTCTTAATTTTTAGTGCTCGAAGGGATCCCTCTAACAAAAAAAGTGTACGTGTCAACTGGTTATGCGCAATAGAGGCCACTGATTCCAATTTCAGCCAGCTTTTATTTTTGGATTTGCTTCCATAGCCTTTGTTCATCCAAGAACAAACTACAAGACAGCTGTTGTTTCATTTTGGAGTTGTCTCTTCTAGAAGAGTGGCTGTCTCCAGCTAACGAGCCTCATCTGCTCGAGGGTTCGAACTCGAGACTTTTCGGTTTAGCAACCACGAGCTTTACCGAGTCGACCACGCCTAGGATATATTAACAAATCTTGACGTTTTTCTTCACCTTCCTCGGTCGGAAACACTACTTAGTTCAAAACATGTATGCAATCCTATCTCTATATGTGTATGTTACTGTCTGTATGTTAAGGGTCAGCTGTAGGTTAGAATAAAGTAGAATTGGTTGGAACAGCCTAGAACGTAAGGCAGAGGTGTGTGTGAGTTGATTTACCTCGGGGTGTTTAGGTATTGTTATCCCAAAGGTCAAGTGCGGGTATAAAAGTTGTAGTGAACGATTGAAAGGGCTGGGTTTGTAGCGACTAGTGTCAAGGATTTGTTGGTAGTGTCTAGGGTCGATGGCATGTTGGTAGCGGCTAGGGTCGAGGGCTTGTTGATAGCGGCTAGGTTCGAGAGCTTGTTGGTAGCGGCTAGGGTCGAGGGCTTGTTGGTAGCGGCTAGGGTCGAGAACTTGTTGGTAGCGGCTAAGTTCGAGAGCTTGTTGGTAGCGGCTAGGGTCGAGGGCTTGTTGGTAGCGGCTAGGGTCATGTTGGTAGCGGCTAGGGTCGAGGGCTTGTTGGTAGCTGCTAGGGTCGAGAACTTGTTGGTAGCGGCTAGGGTCATGTTGGTAGCGGCTAGGGTCGAGGGCTTGTTGGTAGCGGCTAGGGTCGAGGGCTTGTTGGTAGCGGCTAGGGTCATGTTGGTAGCGGCTAGGGTCGAGGGTTTGTTGGTAGCGGCTAGGGTCGAGGGCTTGTTGGTAGCGGCTAGGGTCGAGGGCTTGTTGGTAGCGGCTAGGGTCGAGAACTTGTTGGTAGCGGCTAAGTTCGAGAGCTTGTTGGTAGCGGCTAGGGTCGAGGGCTTGTTGGTAGCGGCTAGGGTCATGTTGGTAGCGGCTAGGGTCGAGGGCTTGTTGGTAGCTGCTAGGGTCGAGAACTTGTTGGTAGCGGCTAGGGTCATGTTGGTAGCGGCTAGGGTCGAGGGCTTGTTGGTAGCGGCTAGGGTCGAGGGCTTGTTGGTAGCGGCTAGGGTCATGTTGGTAGCGGCTAGGGTCAAGGGCTTGTTGGTAGCGGCTACGTTGGAGGGCTTGTTGGTAGCGGCTAGGGTCATGTTGGTAGCGGCTAGGGTCGAGGGCTTGTTGGTAGCGGCTAGGGTCGAGGGCTTGTTGGTAGCGGCTAGGGTCGAGGGCTTGTTGGTAGCGGCTAGGGTCTTGTTGGTAGCGGCTACGTTGGAGGGCTTGTTGGTAGCGGCTACGTTGGAGGGCTTGTAGCGGCTAGGGTCTTGTTGGTAGCGGCTACGTTGGAGGGCTTGTTGGTAGCGGCTACGTTGGAGGGCTTGTTGGTAGCGGCTAGGGTCGAGGGCTTGTTGGTAGCGGCTACCTTGGAGGGCTTGTTGGTAGCGGCTAGGGTCGAGGGCTTGTTGGTAGCGGCTATGGTCGAGGGCTTGTTGGTAGCGGCTAGGGTCGAGGGCTTGTTGGTAGCGGCTAGGTTGGAGAGCTTGTGGTGTAATGGTGAAGATGACAAGTTAAATAAAAGTTTGAACAGTGCCTTGGATCATGTTTGGAGTTAAACGAAAGTCCGGTCGTAACTCTGTGTATATTAGCACACTAATTTTAACATCCTTGCAATTAGAAAGAGGACAATTATTTTTTTTAATTACTAATTCCAATTAGAAGCTTACTTTTGATGTTTCGGCTTTAAAGCGATTTGCTTTTACTGGAATTTGCTCCACTTCCTGTTTCTCATAAATCTTCAGAATTTGATATTTTAGTATCATATTATCCCAAAAGAGCATCATTTTCTAAGAATTTTTCGCCTCCCAATCATTATTTTTCTATGCAAATGCATGAATGATTAGGGGAGATTAATCCAGCTTTTTTATTAAATAAGTTCTGTATGTTTAACTTAATTAAATATGAAAGCGAGAAATTAAATAATTAAAAACATAAATTTGAAAGCCAGGTAAAGGTTTAGAACAAACATAAGTATACTACTTTAATTGACACCTAATGAAGCTATAACTCATTTATTTTCAAATGGGTAGATTAAGTTTGCAAGTTTCACGTAACCTACATACTAAATATATATATATGTATAATTATATATATAAATATATATGTATATATATATATATATATATATATATATATATATATATATATATATATATATATATATATATATATATATATATATATATATATATATATATATATATTAGTGTTAGCCTGATTAGTTGTCTATGACCCCCTCGATAGATCCGCATTGGTTTTAATTAATTAGTAACTACATGGCATCACGGCACTCTGCCTTTCTACGACAATGTCACATATCTTAATTAGCTAACTGACATGAGCAAAAAAACACCAATCCAACTGCTGTGGAAAGGAAAAAAATCGATTAAAAGTAGAAACAAAAAATCCTGACGCTAGGGCTGAAAGATAGCGCCACCTATGTTTGTTGCTATCCGCAGGTTAGCAACGGGCTCGCGCTATACCAGCTGTTGACACTTGGGTCTCATTTGCATACGGATCCGCGGTGGCGTGTTGTGACGTCATACGTGAACTGCGGGACTCAAGGCGGTTCACAGTCCTCGTATACATGTGTGTGTGTGTGCGTGTGTATGTGTATGTTGGTGGGTGGGTGGGTGGGTGAGTGGGCGGATTTGTGTGTGTGTGTCTGTGTGTGCGTGCGTGTGTAGCAGACGTCGGGGAAATCATTAGGCCATGGAATGGAGATAAAGAAATGTATCGAAACTGGATATGTTAGCACTAAAAAATAAAGTGACTGTATAGCCGATCGCATAGGGGAGATAATGATCTGGTAATTAAATGAGACGACAATAGGTCACCAACTTCACGTTATCGTACTTTCCAGCTTATATTTTTTTCAAACCAAATGTGAATACAAACAAAAATATATTGTGAACGTTATAAATTTTTTTTTAATGAATGGATGCTGTAGCCGATTGCACAGTGGAGATAATAAAAGTTGATTTTTTTTTAAAAATCAATGTTTTAATGTTTTTTTAAATATGTTTTGACGGTGACTAACAACACAAGTCGATGAAATAAATGACGA